CTGCCCTCGACTTTGAATTATTATCGACAGGAGAGAATTTACGACCGGGAATTCATAACGGTAACTTTCATAATCTTCTTTGAATGTGCAACTCGGTGCGTTATGTTAAATCAGAGGGGGTCCAGCAATTGGGCATTGGATTTCCTCCATTTAAACCTATGTTAAATAGTCGATTCTTGACAGAGCACCTGACCCATACAAGAATCGATACATGTCCATAAGTTAAATGCGGGAATAAACAGTGTTGCCGATTTGCTGGATCCGCAAAGGTGTTAAACACGGTGACATGAACGTTCCTCGGTTTGTTTAGTATACTCACATACGTGGTTTTGACTTTGTCCAGCGGTTGCTGGAATCCGAGTCGGAGGTGTCTTTCTCGCCCCCACAACTGGAGTCGGTGTTCGAGCTGATGGACAAGCGGGGACGCGGCTACGTCACTCTGGAAGAATTCACGGTAATTTTTGGTATGCTTCCCACATCTCTCCCATTACTCACACCCTAGTCCCTTACAACAGATACGAAACCTTCGTTTCGGAGAGGACAAGCCCCGAAAATCAATTAGTTCCCGGGAACAGTGCTGCCTAATGGCGGAGTATTCTGAACCAAAATGGAGGGGGTATCCCACGCTATCCTGAGAGTCCACCTCCACATCAAGACAAACTCTCCATGCAAAGATAGGGAGCATATACATTGACAGGGCTGCCACCTTATTTGGGGACTCTAAAACTGAAATCACGGCAACCCTGCTATTGTACTTGCTCCCTATCTTTGCATGGAGAGCTTGTCTTGATGTAAAGATGGACTCTCAGGATAGCGTGGGATATCCCCTCCATTTTGGCCTCAACCTGAGAGCTTTTTTTAAGCTTGGGAATTGATTCCAGAAAAAACCAGTAGCACCATCGTCTTTCTCGCGAACTTTTACGTATGAATCAACAGTCAAATCGCAAATTCCTCACACATGCAACATCTCCATTGGCAACATTATTTTCCTCCATTTAACTCTGTGGAAATGTATCGATTCTCGGAGGGGCCAGGTGCTCCGGCAAGAATCGATTATTTAACACAAGTTTCAATGGAGGGAATCCGGCGTTGCCAAATTGCTGGATCCGCCTCTGCGAGCCTTTTCGGAAAAAAACGGAGGCGTAGCGAGCTAGCGATTCGGTGAACTTGGACTTGCTCTCTCTGCGACCTTCCGCCCATCGGCTACCAGGCGAGCGCTGCGCGCACCACCACCGCGAACCTGCGAACGCTCACCTGTGCTCGGCATCACGTTTTTAGAGTCACGCCGCGCGCCGCTCTCGTTTAGGGAGATCCCGGCTCGCGACTTGCCAGTACTCTTGACCTCCATGCCCATACAATAAGACAAAAGGAGCGGCTACGATCGCTTTCATTACTCCGCTTGTCGTAATGCCCCATAATCTAAGATTTTTCTCCTTAGTTTTTACTGCGGGGTCTGATCAAGGACCGAGGACTGTATTTATAGGGCCATAACTGATTTCCATACTGCAGAAAGGGCACTAGTGCAGTGGGATCATTGTTGAAATTGGGTAGACTAAGTGATGGACAAAGAAGACATAGGGAGTATGGAGCGATTCTATTGCTTTCAATGGGTCGTGCAAATAGACTGAGGAAGAATATGATGGGTTAACTATCGAGTCTCTCGTGGGTTGCCGTTGGTTAGTCTATTGCCCACCGTTGGCCACATATTGTTGGAAAAGAAGGAAAAACCGAGTGTGAACACAGCTAAGGATACATAAGACGTAATCGATCCTACTTTTTAAACTTTTCTGCCGAATCTGAGCGACAATTCATTAGCAGCTTAGAACGTAGCATTGCGAGTTCACGCGTCGCACCAGGGCGCCTTCAATTTTGCAGACGCAACACGGACATCCATCAAGTACGAATAGTTGTATCTCTGCGCCGTCATCAACGCGCGTCCTTTCCCTTGCTATATTCCCTTGTTCGTTTGTCTTATTTGTATTGGTGCCTCAGGGCTCCGTGAGCAGCACAGCACAAGATAAAAGAAATGTAGTCGGGCCTCGTTTTTTAACTTTTCTCCCGAATCTGAGCAACATCCCATGGGCAGCATAGAGCGGAGAATTGCGAGCTCACGCATCGCACCATCGCGCCTTCAATTTTGGAAACGCAACATGGACATCCATCGAGTACGAATAGTTGTATTTCTGCACCGACATCAATGCGCTTCCTTTCCCTTGTTCCATTTCTAAGTCGTGTTCGTTTCCGTCCGTCTTGTTTGTTGTGGTGCTTTAAGAGCTATGCGTGAGCAACACAGCCAGAGATAGGGACAACGTAGGTACTTAGGCCTCACTTTTTAACTTTACTCCCTAATCTAAGCGTACGCGCGTCCGTTCTCTTGCTCTATTTCCTTGATGTGTTGGTTCCTTTAGTTCAACTAAATAACTTGGTAAATAGTTTCTTGAGACAGATTAAAATGACTTGTCTCTAGAGAAACTGTCAAATGCAGAAGGAACGTTGAAGAGAAAAATATAGAAAAACAGAAATCCTAAAATACCATTAAGATATTTCAAACAGCTTTTCATGTATAAGTCGCTATTCTGAATTACAAGGAACAAAGCTCTCTTAGAAATCTATGTATTTCACTTTTGTTGATGTATCAGGAGTGTACTGCCGTGCCAAGGAAAAACACCGCATGAACGATTAGGCGTTGCAAAAGTTCCTTCGACAAATTTTGACAGGGATAATTTGCGAATATTTCTCTTCCAGTTTTTCAGAAGATTTCGTTCGTAATTAGATCTAAAGAGTCTGAAAAGAGCCTCCCTAAAAATGGCCCCTTTTCGGGAACCCGGGGATTTCATTCGTATGTGGCTTAAATGAAACCTTATGATGAGGCAAGCCTCCAGTAAAAATTTTAGCTTGAGTATATGTCTTGTTTCCGAGATACAGCGTTGCAAAGTTGGCATATTTGAGCTTTAAAATTCTCATATTTTTATGGATTTTCTTCCAAAAACCAACTTCAAAAATTACTTTACAATACTTACACGAGGTGCACAAGATAAATTATAATATGAAAAGTCTCCAGTAAGAATTTTGACTCATGCGCAAGCCTTGTTTTGGCAGTACAACGTTGCTAAGTTTACATTTTTCAGCTTTAAAAAGCTCATTTTTTTAAAGTTTCTCATTCACAAACCGCTATTACTGAAGATCGAACTGTATTTTGGGGCATAGAATCAACAATTAGTGATACTCGTAGATGCATAGTTTAATTTATAAAAGGATACGATAATACAGTGTTGCAAAGTTTTCAACTTGTATCTGGGAAAATGTCTATTTTGTGTTATTTTATTGAAGACGAGATTGAACAATGTTGAAAAGTGATATTGTGAAACAAAGAAATGTGGAGGACTTTTGTCAATCCTAGGTGAAAATTGGAATTAAAATGGCACTGTTGCCAATTTTATTTAAGTTTCTATTGACATTCCATTATAAAATAAGTTTAAAATAAGGATACTTCCAATAATTGTCTGATTTTAAAACGTCATCCAAGTGAATTTATGGCATACAATGAATGGCTCAGCATCAGTGTTGCTTTCAAAATCTAAAAAATTCTACCTTGCCTTGGTTGTCAATTTTACTTTTTTTAGGCAGAATGCAAAAATGAACATAAACTATGGAAACGCTCTAGTTTTTTGAGTACAAATAAATCTTGATACAGACAATACATTCATTGTTCCTTAAAGAATAGAATATCTTCGACTTAAGAATTACAAATGATGAGAAAATTAAAAAAAAAAAAATTAAATAAATAAATATGGAAAAAGAAATTAAAAGAATAAAATACTTAAAATTATTAAAATATTGTTGCATGGATTTGTCAAAAATTATTATTTCAGCATAGCTACTAACTATTTTTTCATTAATAAGTTGTTAAAGCTCCATTTTTGTTGAGGGTTGTCCTCATAGTATTAAGACCTCTGTGTCACAGTGACAGCATTCCGAAGAGAATAGGACCAGGCTATTGTCATGTTTCATACTTGTATTTCAAAATGGATTTAAGCATTCACATTATGATCTCGGCACTGGATGTAAATTCTTGGTAGCATTCGCTGACCCCTCCGTTCTGATAAAAAATACATCCATCTCCCAGTGAAATATATCAGGAAAAAAGTTGCATTTTCTCAATACGCAACGGTGCAGTGTCTTGGCAGTGCCAATCATAACAAGCTCATATATGTATAGAGCATGTTGAAAACAAATCTTTGATCTAGATGCCTCAAAATAATTGAGATACTTGGTAAAAGTAAAAAATCGGCAACATGTTGAGGTACTTGCTATATATTTGAGGGCAAGACTATACTCACGTATCAATCGAAAAAAATATTTTCACGGATATTCATAATTAAATATAAAAAAATCACAAAAGTCTAAACAAATTACCAAAAAAAATTAAACAAAATAAAAAAAAGTAAAAAAATTAAATTAGAAACATATTTATTTTAAAATCATTTTATTATTTTTTGTTTGAAAAGAATTATGAATAAACTTGGCAGCAGTATTTTTTCCAAAACCAATCGTTACCTGGGACTGACATCAGCCCTTGATATTTTGCCTTGATACGAGTTAAGGTACCCATTGAAGTCATGTTCAACAAGAAAAAAGCATAATCCATACAGAGTTCAAAGTTTTAAGCATGGCAACGCTGTATCACCATCGGTCAAAGAATTATTCTTCAAATACAAACATTCATCTACAGATAACATAAATGGTTGATTTCCTGCTTCAAATCGTGATTAAATTCTACAAAAGTAGCTTCTTAAACACAGAACTCAAAAATATAGACATTTTTAAAGCTCAAATATATGAACTTTGCAACCCTGTATCATTAAAACTATACTTGCATTTTGAGTTAAATTTTAACAAAAGCCTTAGTCTATCATAAAATTGCATCTAAACCCCAAAAGCATATCTTTTAGCCGTNAGTATACTCAATTACTCACGTGCGTGGTTTTGACTTTGTTCAGCGGCTGCTGGAATCCGAGTCGGAGGTGTCTTTCTCGCCCTCACAACTGGAGTCGGTGTTCGAGCTGATGGACAAGCGGAGCCGCGGCTTCGTCACTCTGGAAGAATTCACGGTAATTTTTGGTATGCTTCCCACATCTCTCCCATTACTCACACCCTAGTCCCTTACAAGAGATACGAATCCTTCGTTTCGGAAAGATCAAGCCCCGAAAATCCATTAGCTCTGGGCAACAGTGCTGCCTAATGGCGGAGTATTCTGAACCACGCGTCAAGTTTATGTATCTGTATGTTATGTATCTGTCATGTACCTATTTTACGGATTTTGTAAAAATGTGACTGAAAAAAAAAAAAAATTTGTCATGTCAACCGAACATTCGGTGTTCCATATCATCCCAAATATTCGGTTTGTCAAACTGAACTTCGGGTTCATGTAACCGAACATTCGGCGTATATGACCAAACTTAGTGTGTCAGTTCACTATGCCGCACAAGTTTGGTTACACGAACCGAAAGTTCAATTTGACGAACTGAAAATTCAGTTTTTACGAACGGAAAATTCAGTTTGAAGAACCGAAAATTCAGTATAAATTGTAGTACTATATTGCGGAAAAGATAGTCAGTCGCGGATCCCGCGAATTGGCAACATTATTTTTCTCCATTTAACTCTACGGAAATGTATCGATTCTCGGAGGGGCCAGGTGCTCCGGCAAGAATCGATTATTTAACACAAGTTTAAATGGGGGGAATCCGGCGTTGCCAAATTGCTGGATCCGCCTCTGCATGAGCCTTTTCGGAAATAAAACGGAGGCGCAGCGAGCTAGCGATTCGGTGAACTTGGACTTGCTCTCTCTGCGACCTTCCGCCCATCGCATTGGCTACCAGGCGAGCGCCGCGCGCGCCACCACCGCGAACCCGCGAACGCTCACCTGTGCTCGGCATCACGTTTTTAGAGTCACGCCGCGCGCCGCTCTCGTTTAGGGAGATCCCGGCTCGCGACTTGCCAGTCCTCTTGACCTCCATGCCCATACAATAAGACAAAAGGAGCGGCTACGTTCGCTTTCATTGCTCCGCTTGTCATTATGCCCCATAATCTAAGATTTTTATCCTTAGTTTTTACTGTAGGGTCTGATCAAGGACTGAGAACTATATTTATAGGGCCGTAATTGATTTCCATACTGCAGAAAGGGCACTAGTGCAGCGGGATCATTGTTGAAATTGGGAAGATTAAGTGATTCACAAACAGGACATATGGAGTATGGAGCGATTCTATTGCTTTCAATGGGTCGTGCAAATAGACTGAGGGAGAAAATGAGGGCTAACTATTGGGTCTCTCGTGGGTTGCCGTTTGTTAGCCTATTGTCTACCTCATTTGTTCATTTCATTGCAACCTTCTTGGTGGAAAAGAGGGAAAAACCGGGTGTGAACACAGCTGAGGATACGTAAGACGTAATCGATCCTACTTTGAAAACTTTTCTGCCGATTCTGAGCGACACTTCATTAGCAGCTCAGAGCGTAGCATTGCGAGCTCACGCCTCGCACCAGCGCGCCTTCAATTTTGGAGACGCAACACGGACATCCATCAAGTACGAATAGTTGTATCTCTGCGCCGTCATCAACGCGCATCCTTTCCCTTGTTCCATTTCCATGTTGTGTTCGTTTCCGTCGTCCGTCCGTCTTGTTTGTTGTGGTACTTCAAGAGCTACGTGAGCAATACAGCCGTAGATAGGGACAACGTACTCAGGCCTTATTTTTTAACTTTTCTCCCGAATCTAAGCATACGCGCGGCCGCCCTCTTGCTCTATTTCCTTGTTGTGTTGGCTCCTTTTTTCAACTAAATAACTTGGCAAATAGGTTTTTGAGACGGATTCAAATGACTTGTCTCTACAGAAACTGTCAAAAACAGAAAGAACATAGAAGAGAAAATTAAATAAAAACAGAAATCCTGTAATACTACTAAGATATTTTAAACAGCTTTTCATGTATGTTTCACTGCTCTGAATTACTAGAAACACACCTCTCTTAGAAATTTAGGTATTTTACTCTTGGTGATAAATCAAGAGTACACTGCCGTGACAATCAGGAAAAACGCCATATGAGCCATCAAGCGTTACCAAATTTCCAGGAAAATTTGGAAATATTTCTCTTCGAATTTTTTAGAGGATTTCGTGCGTAATTCTATTTAAAAAGTCTGAAAATTTAAAGGAAAAATATTCATAACTTTTTTTTCAAAAATACTTATTTTCTGGGAAGAAACTTGGTAATATTTGAATGATCTTACGGCGATTTTACTTTGCACGGCAGTAGAGAATAAGGGTCTATTCACTGAGAGTAAAGTAGACTACCAGTTCCTCAAGTTCATTAAACAGAACCAACCAAACCCAAGTGGTAAAGATTTTACACAATTAATTGCGTATTTACAAGAAAATGAAAGAAAAAGCAGTCGGAATAAAAGCTACAGAACTTTTTCCAGTCGTTCTTTTTGTTGTTATACACTCAATATCTATTCTATTCTTAGATTTGTGAATTTGTCTTAGCCATTAAAAATACATCAATGCGGATTCTGCGTGCGACGGGACGGTTCCAATAACTTCCGATAAGAAAGCTCGCTGTCCAGTTACTTTGACATCTTTAAATTAAAACAAACCATCTTCACTGTGACAGTGAACCTTGAGACTCATAAGAATCGATGATCCAACCTGATCCAAATCACAACGAAGATTATTCTTTTTTATTCAAATGCGTCCATTTTAATCCGATTATAAGTTCGGCTTTCACTGCAGGTAAAACCATACCACTCAAAGCGCAATGACCAGATCGGGTGGGGGATTCTCATTTTATCAATGAAACTCTTGACGCCAGGTGTATTTTTCAAGAAATGAGACAACACCGCTTCGGTCGCACTCATACACTTGGATTCATCCTGTAGCGAATGTCATCCCTTGTCCAACAAATGACACGGCGACCGCTCTGAAGTCGGAATGTTTGAACTGTCATTTGTAATCGTCAATATTTGACTCATCAAACGTCCGATGGCTTTTTGGCCAGCGCGTATATGTAAATAGCCGGGCTCTAAATGGCACTTAACATCAGTTTATTTGAATAAGGAATCATTTCGCGAATGATGGATCCCGGCCAGGTGCGACGTTGAGCCGGCTGAATAAATAATTTCAGCCTCTCATGAGTCATTATCCGTCCTGTTCCAATCTCTCCGTTATCTACGCTCGTTTTTTGTGTTTTTGTCGTGAATCGAACGTTTCAATGCAACTTACGGTTTGAATGTTCTATTTGCTTTCATTGCAGAGAATTTTTGCGGTCTCGAGGCGAAACAAGGTTTGGACAGTAAATCTGAATGCAGACGCCTGCTCCAATCAATCAAAGATACTAACGTGATACCCAGGTGAGAACTGAAACAGCATCTTTGCAAATAAGAACCAACGTCATACACTGAAAAAAAAGCTCGATCGTTAAGCCGAAAGTTTGGCGCTCCATATCGATCGACCTATCCGAGTTGTTAAACAGAACTTTCAATAAGTCAAACCTAACATTCGGTTCATGAGATCAAACTCTTCGATCAAACCGGACTCGATTGACCTATCCGGTTTGTTAAACTGAAATTTTAATAAGTCAAACCTAACATTCGGTTCATGAGATCAAACTCTTCGATCGAACCGGACTGATGAAACAGGTATAATAAAAAACACTAACATTCGATTCCACAAACTGAAACCGAAATTGCCTCGAGGAACCGAATAGTTAGATCCATGTAGGATACCAAATTTCCCGCTCATACGGTTGAGTTTTCTCTTTCCATTATATGGTTTTAAACTTGTGCAGCTTTGAAGCAGGAAGGTTTTAAAATAAGCAGAAATAGTTTGCAATTTGAACCAGTAGCGTGGCGTGCTTTGCGATATATCGATTGTTATGCCATTTAAACCTATGTAAAAGGATCGATAAACAGGGTGTTCGCAGCGAACACCTTAATAATCGATTCTTTACCTTAGGTTTAAGTGACAGAACAATCGATACATCGCAATTCACGCCACGCCACTAATTTGAACGATGAGCCTCTTGGGAGCCTCTAATTTTACCAGTGGCGAGGCCTGCTTTGTGATACATCGATTGATCTACCATTGAAACCTATGGAGAAGTATCGATAAACAGGGTTTTCCCAACAAACACATTGATAATCGATTCTTTACCATAGGTTCAATTGGGAAAATATCGATAATCGATCACCAACGCCTCGCCGCTAAATTTTACCGAAGAAGAGGAGGTTGCCTCTGATTATTTAACGGTTTCCAGCAATTTTACTCATCAGCTGGAGCCAACATTTTTAAATTTAAGAGGAAATTACACTCTCTTTGTTTAAATCGCAGCTCTGTGACTTTTGTTCTATCCTTCTTATGACCTAAAACGTAGAGTGCCGCAACGTCGTATGATAGAGGGCATGCTCATTAGAGAACCCAAGTTGGGACAATGAAACCATAACTTCAATCTAATGAAATCCACGCCTACTGCGCTGCGATTCACTGCTATATCCTTAAGATGTCATAGATTTTTAAAAGATGAATGTAAACGACTGATATGACGGCGGCGGATTAAGCAACATGATTGGGAATGTTCACCCATGGACTTCAGTCACAAAAAACTGTAAAAAAACAATGATTTGAAATGTGGATCCTGTGGTAATTTGAAATCCAGGCAAACGATTTGAGTTGGGTTGCGGGCAGCGTGAAGAATCACGAAGCGCCTTCAATTATTGCCAACGCGACACGCACAGCCGTAAAGGTTGAATAGTTGTATCCAGACTCCAGGCGTTTTTATAATCGTCCCTCTTTATGTTTCCACGAGGGGGGTGGGGGCTCTATTTAACAATGATCACCCTAAATGCATCTCATATTGCTGATTTATTTATCAAATATATTTTCCACAGGAAAAATAATCAACATAACTGATTGACTTGTGTGTGAGTGGTTCAATGAATGTAAAAAATAAACTCAGAATATATCCAGGCAGTATTCTGATTTTTTCCTCTTGTTAAAACAAATAAACAAATAAATGCATTAATACACGAAAAAACATCTGGTAATGTAGTGAAAGTCCGGTGCAGTTAGGTAAATCTGTCAATCTGTCAATGTCGTGTAGCCAATAAGTATTTTATTAAATGACGGGTGCTTGAATGGAGCGATCACGTAAACGCCTTGAGTCTGATTACAACTATTCGACCTTCACGGATGTGCGTGTCGCATGGGCGAAAATTGAAGGCGCTTTGGCATTCTTCACGCGCTCCGCGACGCAACTCACATCATATGCCTGGAATTTAAACTACCAAATATCCGCATTTCAACACATTTTCTTCACCAAAATGAAGAAATGAACTTAATTCTGATAAACGGAGCTGCATCACTGAAAACCTGATATTTCTCGTTGATTAAACGTAACCTTACCAATATTGCCCTCTGCTTACAGAGCTCTCCCAGAATTGGAGAAAATCACAGACTGTTTATTGGATAGCCAATTCAGTGCGTTCACAAATGTATATCAAGATGTGTGGGAGAGGTTTCTCTCCATTTTACATCAAGATCTGACGTTGCGGCTGGAGCAGGAAGAAATTCTGGAGAGAAACATGAAACTAAAGGAGAGAGATAGTTTTAATTACGTACGTTACGTTTATATTTTTATTCTTAATTGTAGTTTCAAAAGATTAAAAAATTGTGCCAATCATTTTTCAGAGCCAACCATTTCAAGGTAATCATTTTTAAGAGTTTCCAGCCAATGTAAAAATGCAAGCGTTACATTTAAATAGAGAAATGAAAAAGGTGTAATTTTTCTAAAGTGCAGCCTATGTTTAGAGGAATTACGCACACACTTCTTTTCTATCTTGAATGAAATAAATTTAAATCTGCTTAAAAAAAAAATTGCAACGAATGTCTAAGTAATTGATACTGAATTGGATGCACACCCTGAAGATAATTTTGAAAAAAAGCGCAAAATTAATTTACCACGATAGAGGCAAAATGCTCTAAATACCTAAAATGCGCGAGAGATTATGAGTATCGTAAATCGTATTTCATGATATGATACGTAATAATCTTAAATTGAAATGGATACAGATGTCTCAAAAGTTTCCGAAGAGAAATCAAAATTTTGTCTCGAAAGGAGGAAAAAATTACTGCATCTGAGCGGACGAGAAGTAACACAAAATTGGCGTGGCGTGAATAATCGATTATCGATACGTCCCCATTTGAAGGTATGCTGAAGAATCGATTATTAAGGTGTTCGTTGCGAACATCCTGTAAATCGATCTTTTTCCAAAGGTTTAAATGGCAGATCAATCGATATATCGGAAAACACTCCGAGCCTGTAACAAATCAACGGTGAAACTCCCAAACCACGAATCTCACTTTACGTGCGACGTCGCAAACGTCCAGTTATACTTTATTATTTCAGAATAAAGTTACTAGACGTCAATTTTTCAAGACATTCATAATTTTCCTTTTCCTGGCGAAGAAAATTCTAAGAAATTTTCAATAAATGATACTGATTTGTTCTACTTTAAAATTACAAAACAAAAGCCGAGATTTTAATACATCGTAAACGTGATACGTGGTTTGGTTGTTTCACCGTCGAAATGTAAAACGATAATGCTGCCGTGCTAAGGAAGAACGCCGTATGAACATTCGAAAGTTGCCAAGTTTCTCTTGATAAATATGTATTTTTGAAGATAGCTATTCATATTTCTCTCTGAAATTTTCAGATCTTTTAGATCTAATTGCGAACAAAATTACTTGAAAAATTTTAAGAAAAATGTTTGCAATTTTCCAAGGAAATTCAGTTTTTATTGAAGTAAATCTGGCAACGTCTAAAGGCTCATACGGTGTTTTTCTTAGCACGGCAGAATACCACACGTCAAGTCAATGCGCAGATTATCTCCGAAATAAAGAATCCTCCGGTTCTTAATCCATCTTCGAATCGGCTCCTTGACTTCGATTGTTGAATCGCTATCGAATGGCCTTGATCGATATGTAGCATTGATAAGATAGGAAGTTATCGATCAAGTTCATTCGATAACGAATCAGGAATCGATCCGCTCAGCACATTAGTCACCGTGAAAGTCGTTTTGCATACATCTAACCGTAAATAACAGCTGCTCCGTAGGTAATTAAAATTGGACGTGTTCATAATAAAATGAATCCTCCACATTAATTTGCCTCCATTGAATTTTATGTTATCTCAGGTACAATCTATGATGGACGAAATGGAGAGCCAAATTCAGACTGAGAGGAAAAAAATAGCAGAGGAGGTAAGACATAGGATAAGATTCATATCGATTGGGAATAATTGGACGTATTTCTATCAAACCGAACTATGTGCATTAAGACATGAGCCCTGAGACCCATAAGAATACATGCACAGCTGGGCTTACGTCATAATACACATAGTTCCGTTTGATAGAAATACGTCCAATTGGCCTGCGGGCTGATTACTGAAATTGTTAGACAAAGCTATAGACAAAGAAGACAAAATGTAAATGAAACGAGCCTATAGGTGGAGGCGGGTGGTTGCAATGGATAAGGGAGGTAAGTAATGGACTAACTAACGGCATCCCACGAGAGACCCCATAGTCAGTCCATCATTTTCCTCCTTAATTTGTAACAGCCACACATCTGAACCAGAAGGAAAGCTCCATGTCACCTGTGTCTTTTTTGTCTATTGCTTTGTCTATCAATTTCAATAATCAGCCCACTTGAAGGACGTTTAGATCCACGGTTAAAACTTACCGTATTTATACTAACTTCGGGTTACTTTGAGTCACTTGTGTCGGTAAAATCAACCAAAAAGGCTTGGTTGATTGACACCATTTTTGGTTAAATCGACCGATACCGTAGATTACTCTGATATATCTAGGAATGAAGAAAGTGTCCTGCTGAATTAATGCACTCTTGTTGCTCTGTTTGTAATTCCGATTCTATGCGACTCACGAGTGACTAACGCATTCATTGGTGGATCCAGCAAATTGGCAACATCATTTTTTCTCCATTTAAATCCATGGAAATGTATCGTTCTTGGAGGGTCTCGGTTTTCCAACCAGAATTGATGATTCAACATACGTTTAAATGGAGAAAATCCGGTGTTGCCAAATTGCTGGATCTGCTTCTGCGAATTCGACTACCACTGATGTGAGTCAAGTTTGATCCCAGCGGTTTTAACATGATTTTTAAGGAGATTGCAAGCTTTCGACTTAAATATTTGATCCACGTAACCCAAAGAAAATTTAACCAAAAAATAATAATAGCACTCTTGGGTTTCTTTGTGTTCTTCTCCCCTTACTTACACAAAACATTGGTTATTTTTGTTTACTGTGCACTTTATTTGTATAGGAGTGAAGATAATTCACCGAAAGTTAATTGTCAGAATCTAAGTATTTTTCTTTGAAAATGAATGAAAATGAAGTTCCTGCGGAGAATTCTCGGCCGTAAGTGTCAAAGAGTTAAACTAAAATGATGAATATAGCCGGTCAAAAACATCGCAAATGCACTCTTCCTGTGCTTTTGGTGCGATATAAAACTTTAAAATTCAAGTGAAAAGTTGGAATTTTTTCACTTCAATGTCGGTTCTACAATTTTTAAGTGTTTATTCACAATTCTCTCTATTCACTAGGAACAACGGAAGGCGCAAAAAGCGACTGCTCGGCTTGCAAATGAGTTAGAGGAGAAAGAGAGGCGGTTGCAACTCATAGGAATCAAGGAACACGAGCTCAAGTCCCAGATAGCCGTCATTAAGGGCAAAAACTCGTCACTTTCGAATCTCAATGAAAAATTACTCCGTCAAAAGGTCAGACCTGTTTTCGTTAACCAACTCATTTTTTATCCTAATATTAAGTGGAGTTTAGTGCTGGTGAATTCAAATCCGTTTTCGAGGTGGACGGTGTCAAAACACACACACGAACATCCAGCCACATCATACTTCAACGATGAAACTAAAATCGCGTAACCTGATTTGCGACGTTGAAGATTTCATGTCCTCATTTTTTAAGCGGAAACCATTCAAAGTCATAGTTTAAAAACTTCCGTGATTTTTTCTTCTTTTTTTCTGTCGTTGTGAAGAATATTCTGTTGAAATTTTGAAGTCGTTCTCTCGAACCAGAAATTGTAGCTCCGAATTGCAAAATGCAGTCCATATGACATGATAAGTAACTGAATATAATAAGTCCTTGTCTCTGTTTTATTCAATAGGAGCAATTAGAGGAAGAAATAGCTGAAGAAAGGAAGCGGACAGAAGAATTACTGGGGAAGGTAGGAGAGTACAAACAAAAATTAGACGAAAAACGATCGGAGGATCAAGAGATTAATCAAATTTACCACGTGAACTTGCCACCGTTGCATTCAAAACTTTTACTACAAGCCAAAGGTAAGGAGTCAAATATCATTGAGGCCCTTGAAGAATTACCTATGCTTCAGTAAGGTCGGATAAAAAGGTAGACTCAGAGGACTGTTAAGATTTTGAGACCTCCTAGTGGAAGTGAATCTCATGCGGCGGGAGGTCTGCAGGAGGTTAACCACCCGCGACGGGGACTAACCTCCTGCANCATGCAGCTCACTAAGGCTTGCGAGAGGTCTGCAGGAGGTTCGCGGGAGGTTACTCGGTTTTTTCCTGGAACCGGGTGTCTACCCCATGCGACGGGGGGTTGCTTGAGGTTCGCACGAGGTTGCAGGAGGTTAGTCCCCGCCGCGGGTGGTTAACCACCTGCAGACCTCCCGCCGCATGAGGTTCACTACCACTAGGGCTAGGGATCAATCCATTAGGGGTGGACACAGGTCTTGGTGGACACTTCCCTCTTACCAGGGTGGCATAAAACGTAAGAAAGAAATGAAAGATTGGAAATTTCGGTAAAATATTTCATGAAATTTCTCGAGGCTGTGAAATATTTCATATTTTTCAGGGGCTAAAGTATGCGACCCGCACTCAAACACACAAAAATAAGGGAAAGTCACAATTTTTACATTTTGCGAAACATGAAAAGGAACCGGTATTTTGCGATATCTTTCTTAAATTTTTGGAAATTCATGAAATATTTAACGTGAAATTGCAAGTTTTTATTTTTCATGAAGTTTTGCCCCCATGCCTCTTAGGCACATTTTAAGACCATGCTGCAATGTCTCTTTAAAACAATTTCGTAGCATATCCAGCCAAATCAATGAAAGTAACAGAGTGAACGTCAGCAAACAAACAAATAAAAAATAAAAAAAACTACATGGGAACACTGTGAAACTGTTAGAACTTTTACGCCTTGCTCAAAATATGCGCGAAAACAACTATGCGATCTTGGTAAATTTCAATAGTAAAATGCAGTTTATTTCCACTTCAGTCAAAGTAATAATGAATTATTGCGAAATGAGGAGTACATTACATTGACCAAGTATAATTTGAAATCCTCAAAGAATCCGAGAAATTTATTAAGCGACGTGTGTTCTGTTGTTTGTTTTTTGTCACAGGATTAGCAGAGCAACTAAGGATGCTTTTCGCGTTAGAGGCATTTTTATTATCGGACAAAAGGTGACAGTATTTACTTGGCTGATGAGCCATGATTGTTCTTTGGATAGTTTTTAGTTAAAATGTGAAATTTTCATCACTTGTTATTGTATAAATTCAAATATACTTTTTAGGTATTGTAATAGTTGACGTCCTGATTATCATTTTCCAATGGTGCTATGTTTGTGATAGTACAAATCGACGGCAAAATGCGTATCTCGGTTGCAGTGTTTCAAAACCTCCGCTCCTATTCCTAGAATAAAACTCATGGAAGTTTTCAGGAAATGAAGTTTAGTAATTTTCCATGTAGAATATTTTTTTTTCCGGGAATACTTTTGACAGGGAGTCTGCAACGCCGGAAACAGTTGCGTGGTGTGCTTTGCGATCTATTGATATTTCCCCATTTGAAGCCGTGATAAATAATCGATTATTAAGGTATTCGCTGCGAACATCCAGCATCGATACTTTTCCATATTTTTAAATGGCCGATCAATCGATAAATCGCATAGCACGCCACGTTACTGGCCGGAAACCGAGATACGCATTCCTGCAGTTTCACCACGAAATACTATGTGATCGTACAATATTTGCGAAGATTGCAGTTTTTTTTTTTAATCCTAACTCTCTGATCAGTGTGAATGGTTTTAGGTGTTAATATTAGGTGTATTTAATTTCTGTTTCTCTTACCACTGTGCCGAGACCAGAAACAAGTAACCCTCCACTGGCCCCTAGGCGACAGGTGGAAGCTTTTACTTTCTGGGATTCGACATTTTCTAACAGACAATTGGACTGCATTTTGCATTTGGACCTATAAATTCTGGCTCAACTGAAAAAAACACTTATAGGCATAGAAAACTACTTACGTTGTTTTTAAACCGGGCCGGAATTTATAGTTCCTAATTGCAAAATGCAGTCCAATTATAAGGGAGCAACAGTCATCATGCCCGCAATGTATCACTGGATGAATTGAACCACATTCAGCATTTGGGAACTGCTATTTTCAGCTCATTTCAGAAGCAAATGTATGTGCCACTTGTTTCCCTGTGCAGATACTCGCTTTTATGGATGAGCCGGAAATAGATCCTCATTGCAATGCGTGGTCCAATTATACCTACAACTCGGTTTTATTGAAATTACGCTCACATATCCCACTCAAGATATGGCAAGCCGGATCGAGTTCTCTTCACTGGAAAAAAGATGTACAGTCAAAAAATATTTTGAAACGCATGAATGTTCCGTAACGCGAAAAATATTTACATTTAATAATTATGTATAATTATTTTGGAGCATATATTGGAGCCAATCGAATTATGAATTGAGTTCAAACGAATAAATGATGGAATGTGAAAAATCTCTCAGGGTATTCGATAAGTCTCTTTTCAAATGGAAAGCTAAGTAAAATTAAAGAAAATTGGTGGAAAAATACACAATTTAATGTTTTAAAACTATCAGCAAGTTTTTACAAATGTATAATTTACGCTAATAAAAAATCAATATTAATTAAACTATCACGGATAGTTTTTCTTAACGTTACATAACTACTGGTACTGTACAAACAAATCAATTATGAACAGTTCACGGAAATTGGTTACACCTTTTCTTCCGCTAGAATTATAAACGATCAGAATATATTGTAAATATATCTCATATGTACGGTTAATAAAGTGGATTATTTACAAATATAATACTATGATTTTCACAGACATTATTTCATGAGATTGTGAATCAATGTATTCACAGTAGGACATTCGAATAGAGCCGCTTGCTACGTTGATTGAAATTCAGAACCTAAAAATATTAGCTTGCTAATATTATTTTCGAAGGATTAGAGGACTTCATGTCCTATCTTAACAGTTTTCAATATCCTTGGCTACTGCAGAGGCCTTTCTTGGTGGAGGAATTATAGCAGGAACGCTGAAATCAAAATTGACTGTAGTAAGAAAAATTATTTCATCCGTGTAATATGACAAAAAAATTACAACAGCTCTGTTTATTGTCAGAATAGATGGGAGCGTAATTGTAATTCTTGTATTTTTTCTCTTTCTTTTTTGAACGTTTTATAATTAAAAACTACACAGTTTTACTTACTTTCTGCATAAACATTTCTAGTGGAGCGCGTTGGTTTTGCTCTATTTCAACCTCTTTTTATAAATTTTGGAGGGGGAAAAATTGGACAGCCACCCTCATTGCAAATTTTAAGGGCATACATAATACAAAATGTGGACCGTCAAAAACTAATAATTGGTGATTTTTCATTTATGGTTTCAAAAGTAGTGGGATACTTGTTTTTTTAAATATTTAAGTAGACGCATTAAACATTAATTAAATAATTATAATCACTGCAGAGTGCCTAGAAAATAATGATACTCACTTTGCTTCTTCTTCCAACTCTTCCAAAGTACTGGTGAGCCCTTCAATTTCTGGTAAAAGAAGCACGGATAGTCCTCCCATGACACCACAAAAGCCAAGAATTATCCATGGCAGGTTTTTCTCCACGTTTTCCTGAAACGCATTTTGAAAGAATATTTTACTGGTTGCTGTTACACTTATTGTTAGTGAAGTGGGTTTCTCATCAGTCCATGAATTCTCGTGAATTTCTACGATATGACTGCCCTTTCAGATGTTAGATATGCTCTTCCTGTCTTTACATATCTTTCAATCCTTGATATTAAATTTAAATTCCGAAATTCTTCAATTTGTGGTACTCTATGTGCATAATACATCCCTTTCTTGTCATGAAAAATAAATGTTTCATTTTGTTACACTTTATTAAAAGGAAGACGTGTATATTTTTATTAAAAATATGAAATCTTGGTCAGTAAAAATAACAATATCAATGCTTATTGAGATTGAAAATGTAACTATCTCTTACGTTCTTTCATCATTTTATAGTTTTTGTCTGCGTCATACATTTTACAGCATAAGATACTTACTGTTTCCCATAAGAATGGAACGATGATCAAAGCGATTCCGGCAGGAATATTGGACATCCCTACGCCAAGATTCCTTATGACCGTTGGGAAAAGTTCTGCCGTGTAAACCGGCATTATCACATTCGAGGCTGATATTGAAAACTTCCCGAACATTGCCATCGTGACGTCCATCCAGTTTCTCCCGTCTCTGTTACCTGAAACTATCAGCGATGTTGATGTAAACGATACTGATATGATTGAGATTACACACCACAAATGGAGTCTCAAATTCAAGTTTGAGAGGAGAGATGAAAAAGAAATCTCACACCGTGAAGATTGCTGTATGGAAGTTGCACCAGTTTTCACGATAACTAGGAACGCTCTTCAAAAATTTTGGAAGAAAGTATTCAATCAATATGATTAAAGTACCCATCTGCACTACCCAGTGCCTATTCATTTCGTGACAGACCGGCAAAACACACGAAGAATGGAAATTCTGTTCATTTTTGACACCTAAGTATTTCGGTTGAGGTCCAGAAGTTTTCGATTACGGAAATTAAAATGTGGTTCTGCTGACCGGACTTTGGATCCTCTGACCAAAAATCACTTGAAAAACTTTGGTGTTCAGTTTATGTTAGTGAAGCACAGGAAATATGTCTTTCACTAATTATTTCTTCTATGCACTAACATCTTACGAAACAACACCAACGTGGTTTCTTATGTAGTTTTTTTGATTAGCACAAAGCTATCCCTGGATCTAGGCGTTTCCTAATTAGTGAGATTTAATCATCAAAATATGATCAGATGTGCATTATTGAGGTATTCGTTGTGGAAACGACGTATCAGCTTTGCAATGATGTTCAGATTGAGCAACTTTCTGTCTCTTGTGCGGTTAAAGGCTGTAAAGGTCGTCCCAATATTTTTATCGAACAAATCTTCAGAGCGTTTACTATTTTATCCATGAAACTTATTTGTATATGCGTTCGTTTGCTACAAACTTAAAGTTGCACAGCCTGGATAAGTAGTGCATAGCTTAAATGTCGTTCGTTTCTGTAAAGCGAGTGTCTGAATGATGAACCAGCTAGTATGCAGAAGTCAAGAGTTTACCCTTGAGTCCGCGGTTTACATTTCAATTAAACATTATATATTTAACTTAAAGTATACAAAATAACTTACAATATGTAACGACGGTCATGAGCAAACATGGGATTCCTGCTCCTAACATAGTGTAACTGAGAGGTTTCCGCCTTCCGGTTCGTAATAAAATGAATATACTTAATATTATGGCGGGTAACTCCACAGCGCCTGAAAATAGATAGTAAACAAATGAAAGCAAGTTTCGACATGAAAAGAAAAAATTTGAAAATGAAAAAAAAATGTCTTATAAACATAAAATATAAAGGGCATAAGGGACATGCTTTAGTTACCTTTATTTATTCGATGCATTTGAAATTTAAACAAACAAACACACATTTTTTTTATATTCTTCCCGTCTTTATTTCTCCTATCTTACAGTATTAATTGTGACTATTTGATGAGGTGGCTCTGTGTGATTTAATGACTATTAGAACAAATTTATCTTGAGTAAAAAGAGTATTCCTTGTTTTTCTCAAAAATGTCGAGTTAAATATGTATATTATGATTGGTTATAAGGAAACTGCGATTTGATGCTACTATTTTTGAATTCTGTCACTCAACACAAATTCGTTCATCTTTGTATTCACTGGAGAGTCCGTTTCTAGCATTCATATCAGACTATATGACTTTACATAATACTGTGCAATACTGTAAATATTTTGAGTACTCTTGAAAGGATGAGAAGTTGCACAATTTTGAGAATATTGTAATCGCATTGGTTCTTTTTTGCTAAATGCGGTCCATGTATGAACTATCTCATTCGTGTCTAAGCTCGCCAATACTTTGGTTTTCATCTATACGTGTTTACAATTTAAATAAAATAATCCTCCACTTACCCGAAATGGCTGTATTAACATAGATATCGCCTAGTTTGCTAAGATTAAGAACGAGGCCGTAATACACGAGATAAACAGAGAACCATACGAGGTATAAAACTAAAGATATAAGTCTAATTTTCGGTGTTCTGTACAATTCACAGCATTGAACTCTTGGCGCGCCGCCAGATGCTTCTATCGATGCTAAGCTCTGTGAACAGATAATTCAAAATAAGATGTAATTCACCTAACAAGCACACCGGATTAAAGAAAAATTGCTAAATAATTGTTTGCAATGATGCTATTTGAAAAATGATTCGATATTTTTTATTCAAAATACATTTTTGATGAATACTAATGACGTATAGAAAACCATTGGTGCGATTACAATCCATAAAGGTGTTTTTTTTTGGATCTCATTTTGCACAGTACTACCGTGCTAAGGAAAAACGCCGTATGGGTCTTCAGGCGTTGTCAAATTTCCTCTGGCAAATCACGAATTTCCAGGAAAATTTTTGAATATTTTTCTGCCAATTTCTCTGATAATTTTGTTTGTAATTTAATCAAAAGTGTCTTAACATTTTAAGGGAAAATATTCATTATTTTCCTCAAAACTAAACATTTTATCCAAGGAAATTTTGCAACTCTCGAATGTTCATACGGTTTTCTTTCTTAGCACGGCAGAGTAGTATTGAGTTTCTACATTTTTTTCAGCAGGTATTGGCGCAACAGTTGAAAATCCTTCATTTATGAAGATATGCAATTTTAGATGCTTCAAGTGTTAGTTGTGTTGCCTCTCATCAAGGCGCTATGAAACCCGACCGACAGATCATGACCATAGGAGTCCTCTGAACTTAAAAAAGGGAGGAAAATACATTCCAGAACGGTAACAAAAATTATTTTAATTATGATCATTGATAATTCAGTTTTTTATTATAAAAAGTGATCAAAGTTATCGGGTGCTTCAGGTTAGCTCTTGTTTCAAATAGAAGGAGAGTAAATAGACTTGATTTTACAATTTTGGACGCTACAACTTCTGGCTCATTGTCAGTTTAGAAACAACGTATGCACCATTCGTTTTCCTATGCACATTTTTTTTACACGTGAGCCAGGAGTAGTAGTTCCTGAGTGCAAAATTAAATCAAAATATTTTATAAATATTTTTTATGCATAAAGTACCTGTTTCAGAATTTTATCCGTATTCGGAGGTAGCGCCGTTTGGTTTATTCTGGCCGCATCCTCTAAAACTTCAACTGTTTCTTCAAGACGTCCTCTGGTGAGCAGCCATCTGGGAGACTCAGGCAGTATACTAAACCAAATTAGAAAAATGAAATGACTCATCGTAGAGTTAAGATACGGAAATAAAATGAGCAGACAATGTTTAAACAAAAAAATCTGATTAAATTATTTTCAACAACTATTTTTCCACTGGATATACATCCAAACACTTACTTCTCGAAAAAAAGAAAAAAAAAAAACATTTCGCAGTATATTAGGCAGGTTAACCCAAAAATCCCGCACCGTACATCACCTTTGAAACTTTTGTGCGATGTGAGGTAAAGACTTGAAATTTTAGAGAGCTCCTAAGTTATACGAGGTAAAAACTTTTTTCAATCTCCAAAATTTTAAAAAGATCACTCATAAATGTGGACAAAAAATGTAGGAGGTATAGAGAGGTGGCGCGGGATTTTTGAATCACCGTGTATTGAAAAGTCATATAAACTACTTTTTAAAACCTTTATTGAGGAACTAACCAANATTCTGTTCATTTTTGACACCTAAGTATTTCGGTTGAGGTCCAGAAGTTTTCGATTACGGAAATTAAAATGTGGTTCTGCTGACCGGACTTTGGATCCTCTGACCAAAAATCACTTGAAAAACTTTGGTGTTCAGTTTATGTTAGTGAAGCACAGGAAATATGTCTTTCACTAATTATTTCTTCTATGCCCTAACATCTTACGAAACAACACCAACGTGGTTTCTTATGTAGTTTTTTTGATTAGCACAAAGCTATCCCTGGATCTAGGCGTTTCCTAATAAGTGAGATTTAATCATCAAAATATGATCAGATGTGCATTATTGAGGTATTCGTTGTGGAAACGACGTATCAGCTTTGCAATGATGTTCAGATTGAGCAACTTTCTGTCTCTTGTGCGGTTAAAGGCTGTAAAGGTCGTCCCAATATTTTTATCGAACAAATCTTCAGAGCGTTTACTATTTTATCCATGAAACTTATTTGTATATGCGTTCGTTTGCTACAAACTTAAAGTTGCACAGCCTGGATAAGTAGTGCATAGCTTAAATGTCGTTCGTTTCTGTAAAGCGAGTGTCTGAATGATGAACCAGCTAGTATGCAGAAGTCAAGAGTTTACCCTTGAGTCCGCGGTTTACATTTCAATTAAACATTATATATTTAACTTAAAGTATACAAAATAACTTACAATATGTAACGACGGTCATGAGCAAACATGGGATTCCTGCTCCTAACATAGTGTAACTGAGAGGTTTCCGCCTTCCGGTTCGTAATAAAATGAATATACTTAATATTATGGCGGGTAACTCCACAGCGCCTGAAAATAGATAGTAAACAAATGAAAGCAAGTTTCGACATGAAAAGAAAAAATTTGAAAATGAAAAAAAAATGTCTTATAAACATAAAATATAAAGGGCATAAGGGACATGCTTTAGTTACCTTTATTTATTCGATGCATTTGAAATTTAAACAAACAAACACACATTTTTTTTATATTCTTCCCGTCTTTATTTCTCCTATCTTACAGTATTAATTGTGACTATTTGATGAGGTGGCTCTGTGTGATTTAATGACTATTAGAACAAATTTATCTTGAGTAAAAAGAGTATTCCTTGTTTTTCTCAAAAATGTCGAGTTAAATATGTATATTATGATTGGTTATAAGGAAACTGCGATTTGATGCTACTATTTTTGAATTCTGTCACTCAACACAAATTCGTTCATCTTTGTATTCACTGGAGAGTCCGTTTCTAGCATTCATATCAGACTATATGACTTTACATAATACTGTGCAATACTGTAAATATTTTGAGTACTCTTGAAAGGATGAGAAGTTGCACAATTTTGAGAATATTGTAATCGCATTGGTTCTTTTTTGCTAAATGCGGTCCATGTGTGAACTATCTCATTCGTGTCTAAGCTCGCCAATACTTTGGTTTTCATCTATACGTGTTTACAATTTAAATAAAATAATCCTCCACTTACCCGAAATGGCTGTATTAACATAGATATCGCCTAGTTTGCTAAGATTAAGAACGAGGCCGTAATACACGAGATAAACAGAGAACCATACGAGGTATAAAACTAAAGATATAAGTCTAATTTTCGGTGTTCTGTACAATTCACAGCATTGAACTCTTGGCGCGCCGCCAGATGCTTCTATCGATGCTAAGCTCTGTGAACAGATAATTCAAAATAAGATGTAATTCACCTAACAAGCACACCGGATTAAAGAAAAATTGCTAAATAATTGTTTGCAATGATGCTATTTGAAAAATGATTCGATATTTTTTATTCAAAATACATTTTTGATGAATACTAATGACGTATAGAAAACCATTGGTGCGATTACAATCCATAAAGGTGTTTTTTTGGATCTCATTTTGCACAGTACTACCGTGCTAAGGAAAAACGCCGTATGGGTCTTCAGGCGTTGTCAAATTTCCTCTGGCAAATCACGAATTTCCAGGAAAATGTTTGAATATTTTTCTGCCAATTTCTCTGATAATTTTGTTTGTAATTTAATCAAAAGTGTCTTAACATTTTAAGGGAAAATATTCATTATTTTCCTCAAAACTAAACATTTTATCCAAGGAAATTTTGCAACTCTCGAATGTTCATACGGTTTTCTTTCTTAGCACGGCAGAGTAGTATTGAGTTTCTACATTTTTTTCAGCAGGTATTGGCGCAACAGTTGAAAATCCTTCATTTATGAAGATATGCAATTTTAGATGCTTCAAGTGTTAGTTGTGTTGCCTCTCATCAAGGCGCTATGAAACCCGACCGACAGATCATGACCATAGGAGTCCTCTGAACTTAAAAAAAGGGAGGAAAATACATTCCAGAACGGTAACAAAAATTATTTTAATTATGATCATTGATAATTCAGTTTTTTATTATAAAAAGTGATCAAAGTTATCGGGTGCTTCAGGTTAGCTCTTGTTTCAAATAGAAGGAGAGTAAATAGACTTGATTTTACAATTTTGGACGCTACAACTTCTGGCTCATTGTCAGTTTAGAAACAACGTATGCACCATTCGTTCTCCTCTGCACATTTTCTTACACGTGAGCCAGGGGTAGTAGTTCCTGAATGCAAAATTAAATCAAAATATTTTATAAATATTTTTTATGCATAAAGTACCTGTTTCAGAATTTTATCCGTATTCGGAGGTAGCGCTGTTTGGTTTATTCTTGCCGCATCCTCTAAAACTTCAACTGTTTCTTCAAGACGTCCTCTGGTAAGCAGCCATCTGGGAGACTCAGGCAGTATACTAAACCGAATTAGAAAAATTAAATGCCTCATCGTAGGATTAAGATACGGAAATAAAATAAGCAGAAAATCTTTAAACAAAAAAATTCTTATTCAATTCTTCTCAACAACTATTTTTCTACTGCGTGTACATCCAAACACTTATTTCTCGAAAGAAAAAAACATTTCACAATATATTAGGCAGGGTAACCCAAAAATCCCGCACCGGGCATCATCTTTGAAACTTTTGAGCGATGCGAGGTAAAGACTCGAAATTGTTGAGTGCTCCTAGGTTATACTAGGTAACAACTTTTGTCAACTTCCACAATGGATCACTAGACAAGGTACGAATTTAAGCATTCCGGTACATGTTTCTTAACCAAAATTTCACGTAGAACACGATTCGCGCAACGAAAATTACTGAAACCAACTCCTAACGAAGATATTAACCTTTTCATTTCACATTGGTTACGAGGAATTTGAACTGCCCGCTCACAAGAAACTCAAAGCTCTACGTGAGTCAAATCGCGCACGACAACGGTCTCAGCAAGTTTCTTAATCGAGCAATATTCATTTCCCACCATGTGTTGTTCGAACTATAGGCAATTTGCTATAGCTGAGCCAAAGCGTCAAGATTGAGGTTGCCAGATTTTTACATCGCGCAGAGACTGTCATGATAACGTTTAGCGCGCGATGTGAATCACGTAGAGCATTGAGTTTTCATGAGCGGGTGGTTTGAATTCACGCATCAAGAATCATTAAATATCGTTGTGAGGAGTTGATTTCGATAATTTTCATTGTGCGCATCGTGCTCTACGTGAAATTTTGGTCACGGATCATATATCAGAGTGCTGAAATTCGTACCTTGTCTAGTGGTCCATTTTAGAAAGATCACTCATAAATGGGGAAATAAAAATAAATAAAAAAAAATAAAAAATAAAAAATAAAAAAACTAAAAATAAATTAAAAGGGGAAAAAAATCTTACCACCAAAGACCGAGCAGAAGAGCACCTGGAAGAGTGATAGTCCACTGGAGCACTCTCCAGTCGCGTATGATATAACCAATACCAGCTATCATAATGTAACTGACAGGCAAGGGTAAAAGGTAACATACCCCACAGATTGTCAGCCATTTTCCACTTACAAGTTCAACACCTGAAATTTCCATACATGTCAGATAGTCATATTCACTCCTATATTTAATATGCCAATTACAATGACTCAATACCATTTTTTCTCAATTTATTTAAAAATTTTAGTATACTCTCAAAACTTTTTCATTCTCATTTTATATATCTACTTTATCTAAGTAACACCAAGAAAATTCCGACCAAAGCTGAAATTTATTTCGTTATAATTTCATTTTTAATCTAGGTTATAAATCGTTTGCTCTGAATTACAAAGATTATACAAAATATTTGTGCAGAAACAAAATTGATTAATAAAAAATGTAGTCTCATTCATGTGTTTTCATAATCCGCAAAAGTTTTTAAGCATAATGGACCACTAGACAAGGTACGAATTTAAGCGATTTGATACATGTTTCTTAACCAGAATTTCTCGTAAAACACGATTCGCGTAATGAAAATTACTGAAACTAATTCCTAACGAAGATATTATCGTTTTTATTTCACATTGGTTACGAGGAATTTGAACTGCCCGCTCTCAAGAAACTCAAAGCTCTACGTGAGTCAAATCGCTCACTACAACGGTTTCAGAAAGCCTCTCAATCGAGCAATGTTCATTTCCCGCCATGTGTTGTTCAAACTATAGGTAAGTAATTTGCTATAGCTGAGCCAAAGCGTCAAGATTGAGGTTGCCAGATTTTTATATAGCAGAGACTGTCATAATAACATTCAGCGCGCGATGTGAATCACGTAGAGAATTGAGTTTTCATGGGCGGGTGGTTTGAATTCACGTATCAAGAATCGTTAAATATCTTTGGAAGGAGTTGAATTCGGTAATTTTCGTTGTGCACGTCGTATTCTACGTGAAATTTTAGTTACGAATCATGTATCAGAATGCTGAAATTCGTACCTTGTCTAGTGGTCCATTAGCGTTCTAAATTTCTATTGACAGTTTTTCTATTTTCTTTTTAAATTAGGCGTTAAATGTGTGAAATCAGAGATTATAGATTCATGAAAATTGAAATGTATATCCAAACAAAATACCAATGAAACATCTTGAGAAAAACACTACTTTACATGAATGTTAACTTACACAGAACAAAGCCGGAAAATACGACATTGACACTAAAAAGTCCCAGGAAAAGTCGGAGGACTAAATATAGCGAGTACCAAGGACAAATCGCGACGAGACTTCCTAAAACAAGCTGCATCACTAGTGAGCCCATCAGCGAAACTTTTCGACCGAATCTGAAAGCATTTCAATCCAAATATTATAGTCGGAAAACTGTGGTGGATTAGTCTAAATAACCCTCTACAAGTAACAGCGTTTAAATACGCAACATAGCTGATCGAACACTATATGCACACTGTTATTGCTTTCACGTAGTTTTTTAGATTAATTTATTACCTATAGAAGTGCCCAACTCTGGTAGAAAATTGAAAAAAAAAACAAAAAAAAACAATTATAATGATAACAATTTAATATAGGCGGAGAAAAAGTCGGAAATTTGTAGTCACACATTTTACTGGAGCATTTTGTTCCGTATCCAAATAGATCCCGGTGCCATAAATAGGTATACGAAACTTTTCTGGCCTCTGATGGGTAAACCATGGGGTTGGGCACTTTTTGAAACCAATAAACATTTAGGCCTATCTTTTCAATGTGCATTTAAAATGAAAAAATAAACAAATAAAGATTGAAGATGCGCACGACTCAAAAAATATAAAAATTGTCTCTGCATTAAAAGGAAGTTCGCATTTTTCCGAGTTGAGCAGCTGGAGACATTTAACTCGCAAGGTGATTTGAATAAGAACAAACCAAAACGAGCGTCAACGCTTTCTTATTAATTTGTTACGAGTAAAACGCTTTGGGAATACCTGTCAGAGATGATGCCTAAAAATCCTCCCACAGCAACACCTGCGAGAAACATCATGTCGGCTAAGTTTTTTAGGCTTTTGTATTGGCACACCAAGCCCCACTGCAAAATAATACAAATTCATTGGTCAATTGACAAAATCCTTATGATTTTCCTGTTAAATTTACACAACTCATCACGGACGTATAATGCGGGCGTTGAAAATGAAAAATACTAGAAACATTTGTTTTTCATAAGATTGGCTCAAAATTCGATGTAAATGTACGTGCGAGTTCATTTGTAAAGAGTTTTGTAATAGTCAGTCATCTTAGAGGGACTAGTAGGTCAACGACTCAAAGTTCGTGAGAAATAAAACCATGGCCATAAGTAAGTAGATGCAGACCAATAAGCCGTAGCATTCATCATGACCTGTCATGGTACTCTAAATGCTTGCAAACAGTCTTTGATAAAACGATTGTGCAGTCATGTAACTTTGCACTCCACAGTGTATTTTGATAAAAATCTGTGCATGATCAAGATAGAAAAAAAAACAACGTAAAAAATCACTGTCTTAAAACTTTGATCACGTGAATCACGCTGAACTTTAGCCTTTCACACATTTTGAGTAATGTCTTGTATTATTCAGGGTACCTTCGCAAATGGCTAAGCAACTCTACATCGATGACCTTAGTGCGAAACCACATATCTCCGTTTGCGACGCTGCAGAATTTATAGTTATACTTTCATTTTTTTTCGGTAAGCTAATGAACCTAATTTCCTGATAACTTTCTTGATTTTTCCTCTCTGTTAACAAACTATATTAAGGTGATTCGTCAAGCTTTAGTGACGTGGTCGAACTGGCATGCGATGTATGGCATCGATTAGGTCGATTAGATTGTGAATTTTTAGCAAAAAAAGGCCGATAGCCCGTACGCATGAGCCTAAAGAATCATTCCAAACCCAAAAATCGGCAAAATTCAGAGATATGAAAGCAGAATAGGGTTTGGAAAAAAACTCGCATTCAATACAGAAATCGAATGCGAGGTTTTTTTCCAAACACTATTCTGCTTTCATTTCTCTTAATTTTGCCGATTTTTGGGTTTAGAATGATTCTTTGGGCTTATGCGCAGCTAGGGGCTATCGTCCTTTTTTTTCGCTGAAAATTCAAAATCTGCCGAGAATTTGGGCTTAATCGATGCGATATATCGCATGCCAGTTCGACCCGATCACTTGAGCTTGACGAACCACCTTAAATAAATGTCGAGATTGAAAGTTGACTTGTTTCTACGAAAAAATAAAAAAGGAGTGGACATTTTGAAACACCGTAATAGAAATACGTGGCTTCACACGTTGGCCATCGATATTATTAATTAATAATCAATATATGATCATTGATTAATTTACATTATCAAGTAAATTTACGGACCTCGCTGATGACTGACGTGCCGGTGACACTCGTGTTGAACTCCCACCTCTCGCATACTTTCACATCCAACTCCCCGGTTCGGTTGTTGAGCTCCTTGATGTAGCATGGGTCCAGATCCTATTATCAAACGATACTATTATTCAACACAAACAATACAGGGTAATTGAAAAGATCAAGCTGGATATCCTGAACTTGTGTGGTTCTTAGCCTCCGCCATGTAGTGGATTGAGCCAATAGAAGAGGTCGGACAAAAGAAAACTTTAAACACTTATAACTCCGTTCATACAAAACTTTGAAGTTTTAAAAGTGGTTCCATTGGTTTTCTCGTAAAATTAACACCTCCGTTTACCCCTTGAAAATTCTAAAATTGCATTCTAGTGTTATTATTTAACTATTAATGATAAAATATGAAAGTTTGAGCTTTTTCAACTAATCATAAAGATATTGGTATTTAAATAGGACGAAATAAACATCAAAATTTGTTGTTGTAGTCAAAAATTTCATTTCCGACCTCTCCAACTGACTCGATCCACTGTGCACCCCTCCGTCGCAAAGTGTATCAAGTAAATAAGAGAGGTCGGACATAATTTGGAAACTTTAAACGCTTATAACTCCGTTCATACACAATTTTGAGGCTCTGAAAGTAGTTTCATTAGTTTCTTCATTAAATTTTCAATGATTAACACCCATTGAAATTTAAAATGTGACAAAATAAGCATCAAAATTTGCAGTTTTGGACAAAAATTTAATGTCCGACCTCTCTGATTGACTCGATCCACTGTGCGCCGGCCTCTGGGACCTCTGCGATACGTTCTCACTTCTCATCGAAGGAAAGGTGAAACGCCTTCAATTAGTTGGTTATACTATTTTACGTACCCACGAGTGTCTTCAGTTTCTTGCCTTGCGAGTTAGAATTGACCTATCGATCTGCAAGAATACAATCTGGGAAAACAATGTCTTCGTGCAGGCTGTTTTGTGATTGTGTTAATGCTAGAAGGAACTATGTAAACATTAATTACATCAAAAGATAGTATATGTTCATAGAAGTTGCATTATTCATATGATTCCTTTTGATTCAGTTCATTTCTACACAACTCCTTTTAGCATATAGAACTACGTCGTAGTGAAGCGCATGTTTGAAAGATACTTTTAGGTGACCAGGAAAAGAGCTCTTTAAACTTGTCAGAAGTTTTTTCATTCCGAGAATGAAGGTTTAATTCGTATGCACGTATTTTTTCATGACTTGTAATATTCCCATACACCTTTTGTAAGTAGAATTCAGAAAAAGTATGTCATGCAAAAAAGAAAATACGATCTGTTGACTTGCTTTGAAACACGATAGCTTTTTTGAACTTGAAGTTTAACATGGACGTTTCTGTGGAAGCTCAAATTATAATTTTTGCAAATTCAGGTTTTAAGTCTCCATAAAGAGAAAATGAAACTCCACAGCCACATTCTTACCGTTTCATTTTTACCGTTTTTTTGCGCCACAGAGAAAGTGCATTTAAAACAATGCTTCAGTGAGACCGCCTTAAAAAATGATTCAGTGGATTTCATGCATTGCAGTTGAGCGTAGTGTATAATTATAAGTTATTTGAGACCTTGTCAAAAAAAAAAGTCAATATCATAAAACCAGGGCGAAGGTCGTCCAGTTACTTTTGAATCCTCCCTTGTAAAAGGGGAAAATTCCAACTTGGTGCCCTTGACTTGCGCGCATAGAAAAGGACATTCATACCATTTTCTCGTTCACCACGAACTTATTAGCATTTTGAGATGAATTCTTAACGCTCAGTGAGCTGTATTCATATTATCTGAGGCCAATCATAAAATCACCCGACGAACTAGATTAATGAACGGTTCGATCGGTTTTAAAGCTTTGACAGCGAGCTCGGTGAGATACGGTTGTTTGTGTTTCCTTCGGAGAACCGACATCAAAAAGTGGTCGGCGAGTTTTCATCAAGACACCGGCAGACTGTAATGACTCTCGATTCAAGTTATTTTCGAACAAGTCTCCAGGGGCTTGCCTAGTGTGCCTCTCGTCTTTGATTGGAAATCAAAATCCCTCCCGCCGTTAAACTTTGGAGCCGTTTCACTCAAGTTTTACCCTCAGCCTCGAATGCTTTCACAACGACGACTCTTGCAAACGCTGCCACTGCATGGTGTTGCATCAATTATTTATGTTCTGCGCGGAAACGGTTCCGTACCGAGAATTCTTCTATCTACCATTCGATAATACCTCGACATTAAACCTGCCTTGGTAAGGAAGAATGCCGTATGAGCCTTCAGACGTTGCCAAATTTCCTTCGATAAAACCCCGAATTCGCTGGGAAAATGGTGAATATTTTTGCCTAAAATTTGCGGACAATTTCGTACGCAATTTAATCTAAAATATCTGAAAATTTCAAAGAAAAATGTGCATGAATGTCGTCAAAAATACATGTATTATCAAAGGAAATTTGGCAACTCTCAAATGTTCATACGACGTTCTTCCCTAGCACGGCAGAAATGGTAACAGGACTTCCGAAACATGTAGCTTTTTCTAGATTTTTCGTGATACTTCTAACATATACGTGTGAAATCGAGCTTTAATTCGATTAAGAATTTGCGTAAAGGTACTAACGTGGAAAATTAATTGAGTTCTGATAATTTTTTAGGCAAACGGGGGAAAAAATAAGCTCACTGGTGTTTCTTGGATTCTGTGGAAAAGCTTCAATCTTACCCTTTTAATGGTTTTTGCCTAAATGAATTAATTATTGCATAGATTCTGATTTTGCTCCTAGCGCCATCAAATGAAGATAGCGAATTTCTTTAGAGTCCATGACTTTTTAGTTGCAGTTACAATACATTGAAAATAATTGAGGTAACTAAAAATGATGCTATGAATGATAATATGTATTTAATTTCTGCAAACTAAAAAATAGAGTTCCTACAACCGAATTTTTAGTGCACGCAACAAGAGAATTTCGATCCAACTCTAGAATTTGGTAACTTGTTTTAATGATTTTTGGTTTTTTATACAATTATTACCCAAATCTGCTCAATTTTGATCATTTCTGGTCATTATGGCCATTATTAGAAAAGTTCATAATGACGAGACATCTTCAGACATCGTCGGAAACGTCCGCATCCGTCAATGAGCTCACCGAAAACGTCCGTTGATGAAGGCATCATAGAGCCAAGATACCGTCATTATGACTTTCCTGACAATGCTTTCTGATTGGCTAATTCATCGACCAATCAAAGGGTACATAGCGACAAGCACACACAAATCCGCTTCGCTCTCAATGTGGTAAGAGAGATAGTAAAATTGAATGAATACTAGTTAGAGAATTGATTTTTGAGCAATAACAAAACTTACACTTTTATCGGCGAAAACGGTGTTGTTGCCAGCGCTGACACACCAGTAATCACTGGGGTCCAAGCTCTGGAAGGCGAAGGCCATTATGTGCCATGTGCAAGGGACGTTGAAGAGCGACAGGAGAACTGTCATCTGGAACTGCCATTTTCCGAAATCCCCAATCGCCAGCGCTATCGGATCCGACTGCTCGGTTGTCTCCGGTTTCTTCGCCAGATCCGTCTGCGTTGTCACAGAGACATTCCCTTTCGAGTTCTCGTCCTTCTGCGACGCCGATGAGACGATAGCTGCAAAAATAAGAAAGATAATTAAAATAAAGATAAAAGCCAGAAGAGAATCAATAAAGAAAGAAATAAAGAGGACGAGGAGTTGAAAAAATGACATCGTCTTTGCCGTCATGGCCAAACAGCTTGTCTGGTATGGCCATGTCAACAGGCTGCCGAAAAAGATTCTTGATTGGGTTCCTCCGAGGAGGAGACGAAAGGAGCCCCCAGTGAAAGGGTGCGACGACAGAGAATTGCAGAGGAAATGAGGTAGTGCCAACTCCCTGAACTGAAAAAGAAACTCCGGCCGCGGAAGCCGTACTAACCGGCTTTACAGACATACCGTCCGAGTTCCGGGCTCAGAGGCCGAAAGCTCTGGTATAGTAGCAACCAGATCAATCGAAGCTACGGCTACAGCACCCGGGAGTTTCGACCTCTGAGCCCGGAATGGACGGTGTGTCTATGTAGCCCGTAACTTTTTTTTTTCAGTGTAAAGGGCTGTGGGAGGATAGGAGTTTTTTTGCGGGTAGGTGTCGCAGATCGCCAAAGAGTGATATGAAAGCGGCTTTTATGTCTGTAATACAAATAAAAAATCGACACTTTAGGCAAAAGTGATCAAAAGCATCAGAATATCTTATACTCTTTAATAAAAAATCATGAGAGTAACGCATAATGCATAACGTATAACGCCCCGAAAGGTCGGAATGCGAAGCAGTCAAAGAGCGTAGCCCTTTACCATTAAAAAATATGACGAATGCATGCTGCTATCCCCGTTGTAGTAAAGAAGGAAACGCCGCCTCAATGCAAATTATAATTGTTAAAAGCTTTTAAAATGGTGTGTCAAATCTAAAGAGATAAAAAGTGATAATTGCAAGTGGAATGTTTTGCCATACTTTTTGTAAGGTGACTAACTTGGAGGCAGAAAATTAGGAGGCTGTCCTGCGCTGCTTTTGGATCCAATCAGACTAAAAACGCGTCTGCATTTGCCTCATTGATTTGTCGTACTTAGTAATACTCCCAACGACGAAGCTCTCAGGAAAATTTAGCTCCATAAGAGTTTTTCCCCATTAAAATAAGTGTTTCTGCATTTACAGAATAGCACCATGCCCTGTGACGTCATATTAAAATCTTGTCTCAGACAGAAAGCACTTGAGTGACCTTGGAACGCTAACTCAATGCAAAGTATAACTGTAAAAAGTTGTTAATATGGTATGTCGAATCTTTAGAGATAAAAAGTATTAATTGCATCTTAGATTTTTTGCTCTGTTTTTTTTTTAAAGTGAATTCTTTGCAGTCGAATGTCGACGGATTTTTTAGAAACCATCCACGCTCTGTGAGCTCTCGCTTGCATACCATGCCCGCTAAATTGCAGTTAGTCGCGTACCAGGTGGAAAAAAGTTGACTCGCTTATTGCATGAGATAATTTTGAAGGCGCCCGAATACTACAGATCACATACACAGGACAGCGCGCGAGCTGAAGCTTTCTGCCAGGACATCGATAATGATATTGTGAGATTGTGACTAACGTTTTTTCCTCCTTTTCGGGTATTTTATTCGCTTGAACGCAACCTGTCAGTTTATATTTATGTACACTATTTTCTTATCCTATTTTAATATTTTCATTATTTTGTTTTACCAGTTTACCATTCTAAAGTTTACACATCGTAATCATTTGCGGGCTGTCGTTCCGAAATAAACTTCGACAATGTATTCATTAAAGCACCGCGTGTTCGTATATGTTTCCTCCTCAAACATGTTGGTGAAAAAATATTCTCATAAAGCTTAATCCAGATATTGATCTCCAAGCACGGTATTAACATGTGCGTTTGATGTTGATCAAATACACGAAAATGAGAGATACAAAGTCATTCGTATATACTTTTGCCATTAAGCTAATGTAAACTATGAATACTAGTATCAACTTTGTGTGTTGATTCCCAGACATATCGTTGTAAGAATCACGATGGCCAAAATGCAAAACCACGTATCTTTATTTGCGACGCTGCAAACTTCCTGCCATAGATTTTTTTTCTTTTTTTTCAGGAAAACTGGGCTTTGTAATTTTTGAAAACTCGTTTGATTTTTCTCTTTCATTAGCTAAGTATTCTCTGTAAATCTCAAGCTATAAAGTAGCCTTGATTTTCCTTGAATAAATTAAAAAATAGTGGACATTTTGAAACGCCGCAATTGAAATACATGAGTGCGCACTTTGGTCATCGATCATTTTTTGCGAAAAATTTGGGAGGTACAACTTGTGACGAAATTCAGAGTGACGTTGTGTAGGACCCCATAGAGTCGCTATTTTGGGCATGTTACGGACAATGATTGAGTTAAGTAGATTTGCTGATAGCAATATTGATAAAATAAAGCTAACGGAAATACTGTTTAATAACTCCGATATTTGGCAAAATGCTTCAGATACTTTTTGCATGAAAGAAAAGAAGGAAGAGACTCTTCAATACTTATTTTGCCTCTTTAATATAGCGATGGCTATTCTGTAAATTCATTCAAATACCCCTCTATTAAGTGAGGCAATTCTTTAGAAGAATGTGGCGACTCTGTCACAAATGACATGTGTCACTTCTAGATTTAGATGCAAATTAATGCAAATTTTCCTCGATAAAAAAATTAGTCGAATTATTTATGCAATGTCTCACACATTCAAACCGACCTTCCTCACTAAAGTGCGTCCCTTTCCTTTTTATCCTGCACTCTAATCGCATTCTCATCACTGTCACTCAAAAAATCTTAGAATCGAAGGCGGTAAAGTTTACACCTAAGTGTGATGATCTAGTTTTTTGTCAGAAATTGAGTGCATGTTGAGAGGGAATTAAATTGTTCTCGCAATGTATCAGGACCTTTTTTTTGCATCCTCAGTTTCTTTGCCACGCAATGAATGTCAAAATAATGAGTGATCGATGCTTTTAAGAACAGACAGGCGCGTTGGAAAATCTAGCAACATTAATTATTGCAGTGCTTTATTAATTCTTAAAACACACATCGGTGCGATGGTTTGATTCATACTTGGCCTTTATGCCGGGTGAGCATCAATGTTGTTGTCGTTGTTGTTTTTATACATTTATGCATAGGTGTTTTGGCAAAGCTCCTCTTCCTATGCTGGATATGTTACTTTTCAAACCTGCGTCTTCTAACATCGTCTTTTCGCTCTCTTTGAATTTCGTCGCTCCCCCAGCGCACAGTGGATCGAGTCAATTAGAGAGTTCGGACATGAATTTTTTTCTAAAACTGCAAATTTTGATATTTACTTCGCCATATTTTCAACTTTAATGGGAGCTTCTAGAGGAAAATTTCACGAGGAAACCAATAGAACCACTTCCCAAGAAGCATTTTTAAACAGAAAAGTCGGGATATATTGCAATTTTATCGGCGATAAAATCGCTGGGATCATCAACATCTCAGCGATTATCCTCGATCGTGTCAGGATTAAATCGCGATCTTGTCGGGATAAAATCGCGATTTTATCGCCCGGCAGTTTATCGCAATATTTCCGAAATAAAAATCGCGATGAATGGCAAATTAATCTCGATTTTATCGACGAAAATTGATCGCGATTTTATCGAACCAAAAATTGCGATGTGTAGCAATTTAATAGCCATACATATATCGCAATTTTTAATGCGATAGTATCTCGATATATTGCCACCGATATAATCGCGATAACCAACCGATAAAATTTCTATTTATAGCGATCACTGCTACTTGGGTTTTAGGACCTCAAAGTTTTGTATAGACGGAGTAATCAGCGTTTGAAGTTTCTAAATTTTGTCCGACCTCTCCTATTGACTCGATCCACAGTGTGGCGTGAGGGCGTATCTCTATATCCGTACGAGCCCCAGAAAGCATGGACTCATATGTAAAACAAGGCTCACGTGGAAACCGGGATACCAGTAGCGTGGCGTTAATTGCGATGTATCGATTATTATGCCATTTAAACCTATGATAAAGAATCGATTATTAAGGTGTTCGCTGCGAACACCCTGTTTATAGATCCTTTTCCATAGGTTTAAATGGCACAACAATCGATATATCGCAAAGAACGCCACGCCTCTGCGGCATACACCCTTACTCTAGACTTTTTTGTCTCGCGCAGATTTAATATAGTATCTTAAGTTCTGTTGAGAATCTACAGCCACATGTACAATCAGTTTAAATTTCATTGCTCTTACACATCAGGGGGTAGGTATTTTCATGGCTCAGACTTTTCGGATTTGTAGGGATTAGGGCCATTTTGAATATATTTTTGTGGATCCACTCGTTAGTTACGTGAAAATTTGTCAACACTACCGAGATTTGAACTTGGGCCCTATTCTGCCGTGCAAAGGAAAAACGCTGTATGAGCATTCGAATGTTGCCAAATTTCCTCTCAGAAAATATCAATTTTTGAAGAAAGTCATGAATATTTTTCCTTGACATTTTCGGACTTTTTAGATCAAATTTCGAACAAAATCCTCCGAAAAGTCGGAGGAGAAATATTCACAAATTTTCCTGCAAATTTGTTGTTTTTCGAAGGAAATTTGGCAACGCCTGATGGTTCATACGGTGTTCTTCCTTAGCACGGTGGTATTGACCTAAAGTCAGACGTGCTAATAGACCTGCCTAGATACACTTCCAAGCCTGGTTCCCAGTGGTAACGAAATATTCCTTTCTTGACGATGCTCAACAAATGAAAGAAAAACAAGTTCTGTATTCTCTACTCGTCAATACTGTTTGCACAAGTTTAAAAGAGAGAGAGGGGGATGTGAGAGAGGGAAAAGGGACGACATTTATTTCTAACAATTTTACCGAAAAAAATCCCTAGGAACAGATTTTCAAGTTTGAGTGAAAAAAGTTTTCCTTTCATGAAGTTATCGTTAAAATCTCATGCTTGGTGTATTTCTTTCCCCGAGTAAAAGTAGGGCACAGGACACGGGTGATTGCCAAAAAACTGATGAGCGTTGACCTCCTCTATACATGTAAAGTTGTCAACAGAATTCGCTGTCATTCAAATAAGTTTACTTTTCACT